CTGCGGAAGGAGGAAACAAATCCGGGTTATGCACGAGACATTAAGGTTACATAGTTGTGATGTTGTTCAAAGGAACTGGCGTTTTGATTTTTGGTAGTTTAGATCTAAACATTACAAATAAATTTATTTAGAAACCATATTTTCACATAATCACACCATTCTCAACACTACAAGTCTGAAATAAACTTGGAGAAAAAAGTCAAAGGCTTGAAAAAATATGACCCAAATAGGTGTTGGCCGTCTTGATCTAAGATTTCACACGGCCCTAATGACTTCTTGATCCTTGAAACCGTCGCACGATCGCTCCATCTTTTAAGCCGTTAGATTTCTCTTGTTTCTTGCTGATTTTTTGCGACATATCTTGTAAACATGGACGAACTCCGTAAGGTTATACGGCCGACATGATTTAGCTTGGTTACTTAGTCCGTGATCAATCATGATGAATGGAAGTTATGATTGATATTCGAATGGAAAAGAAACAAACATACATAGAGCGACAGAAAGAAGGGATATGTGAAAGAGAGATAGAGATAGATAGATAGATAGATAGAGAGAGTTAGGGAGAGAGAGAGAGAGAGAGAGAGAGAGAGAGAGAGAGAGAGAGAGAGAGAGAGAGAGAGAGAGAGAGAGAGAGAGAGAGATTAAACACGAATCCTTTTCTAGAAAAATGGCATTTTCCACAAATACCCATTATTGTGTAGACGGATACAAATAGAAAATGCAGAGAGAACAACACCTAGACTTCTCGACTGAGGTTAGTAAAGCATTTTCTTCCGTGGACTTTTTAAACTTGTTTTCATTTCCTTACCGTGGAACGAGATTATTCCTTTGGGAGCCAAACTCTTCTCTAAGCTGGATGAAGTTAACTCGCCGTGGAGAGTTAATTCGGAGCCTGAACAATACGTATCGTTCCCAAGTCCCTTCAAAATTATTATATAGGAAACACTTTTTCCTTCTATTTTTCTTGCGTGGGGACATGCAAGTTTCATTTGAACACAATGCAACAGGACATTCGACGTAGAATATAAGAAACAATTTAAACAAATAAAAGAGAGAGCGGGAAAAACACAGGGCCGTGATTTCGTCCTCTTTCCCCTTTTCCTTTGTACTAATATAATAGCCTGAGGTAAAGCGTTCCACTTTCATAACAGGGCGCTTTGTTGGAACAGCCAAGGTCGTGTAAAGAACGGATTATAGACAGAAGGTTGCGAAGGGGAGGTCTAGTGTCCACATGATATTGGCCCAAACATTAATTTCCAAGCGGAGTTGACGCAGGTCTTAATGGTTCTGATGGAGAGGCGGTGGATAACCGACAGCTGACAGGCGTGTGGTCTGAGCACTGAAGTTTGGTGTGATCTGCTAACCTCTTGTTGGTGAATAATTACGGGATGTTAATGCTGGGAGAGAAACCATGCGACCAAGTTGGAATGGCAATGTGTGAAACTTGGATATTCGCATGCGAGCTGTTGTAAGACGACAGAATATACCGTTATCAACAACGACACCAACAACGCTACTACCTTCTAAAACAACAGAACAAAACAGAACAACAACTCGTTTTACCTGAGTCCCCCCCCCCAATCCCTCTTCTTGAACCAACAAACCTCTCCTCGAACTCGCTGTTTTCGGAACAAACCTTATCACAAAGTTATGCACTCTGTGAACCCTTGAACCCAACATCTGAATCTCAGCCTAACACCCCTGAGGTTAAGAAGCAAGAAAGAGGAAGAGGGAACGGGGAAAGAGGTCGGGGAAACACGCTGACTATAACTCGCTTTACACATAAAACCGACGTTAACAGCCCTCAACTGAAAGAGGAGGCTAGTTCTCTTTGACAAGGGAAAGTGGGTAGTTGATGATCATGCCTCTGGAACAGTGAAATCTGCCTCGGTCTTGCACATAAGGGCGTCTGTCGAATTCTTGTTCATTGCTTGTTATCCGGATAGTTCCTGTGGGGGTCTTACTGTGAGGAAAAATACTCACATCGCCTCTTCTAATAATGCAGCTCGAGCTTAGTGGTGTCAGAATATCAAACGACCCAGACATATTCCACTTTGAAACTTGAGAGTATAGATATATGAAATAAAAAATGGGAGAAATAGAGGGAATGAAGAAAGGGGAGGGCAGAAAGAGAAAGAGAGAGAGAGAGAGAGAGAGAGAGAGAGAGAGAGAGAGAGAGAGAGAGAGAGAGAGAGAGAGAGAGAGAGAGAGAGAGAGAGGGAGGGAGGGATGGAGGGAGGGAAAGATAAAGATAAAGAGAAGAGAGAGAGAGAGAGAGAGAGAGAGAGAGAGAGAGAGAGAGAGAGAGAGAGAGAGAGAGAGAGAGAGAGAGGGAGAGAGAGAGAAATAGATATATAGAAACTGACAAGAAAAAAAAGAAAAAAAAACAAAACAAAGAATCATGCGTGGCGAACAAAGGAAGAAAAAAAAAGACAAACCAAAACTAATGGAGACGTAGAAAGATTCACAAAGATAAAATCAACCTCGTCAGCCCCCATTT